AAGGCTGTTAAGCAATGAGGAATTTGATTTGGACTGCAGCAAATCCTCAAAACGTGAGCAGAGATGAGCAGCTAGTGGAGAAGGACATTAAGCATCAGGAGCATCCAAACATTCCTTCAGCTCCTGTTCCCTGCAAAATTGGATCAGAAATGAACTTGAGGAGTCTTGGAGCAAGGACAAAGTCTGTACTTTTACCATGAAAAGATGAAAACCAGGATAACTTTAGGGGAAAAATACTTTTGAGGTTGGTTGGAGAACATTTTGACAGAGCAGAGAAAGACATGACAGGACAAAAATGGTGTTCAAAGACTTAGGAAGAGAAGCAGTCATTGGGAGGAACAGCATCTTCCCAGATTTTACAGCTGCTTCTTGCATCTCAAAGATGAACACCACTTGCCATCCTCATGTAATCTGGGACTAACACAGCAAATGTTTGAAACATATAAAGAAGAGAAAAAAGTGGTTTGAGGTGATGCACATGGTAGACATAGGCTTAGTAGAAAAAAACAGGAAATTTCAGACTGAATATCAGGAGACTACTCAAGCCCTGAATTTTATTATAAATATTAATTATTATAAATAATAATTATTTATTATTATACAGATAAGTATTGTCCAAGAGGGAAAGTGGAAGTTGCATTTACTGAGCTATTTACATGTTCGGAAATGACTGTCATAGAGAATACCCTGTACTTTTAGAGTTGGAAGACACATCAGCATTTACTAGCTTTCTTTTAACTCTAACTGAAGAACTGTCTATTACAACTACCAAGAACAACAACTATCACTAGAACTGACATAAGCTTAAATACAAATTCTTGAATTGCTTTTTCTCTCATTTTTCCTGTCTTCATCTATTTTTTCTTTCTCTCTAAGCACTATTCCCAAAGAATGAAGCAGCATGAAGTATGGGTGTAACATTAATTTAAAAACTCCACCCTCATCATTTTACCATTCCTCAAAGTATGACAACCATTAAAAAAAAGCAGTTTTGCTTATTGAACAAAGCTTTTTCAGAAGTGGAAGGGCACACTTTCATGCACAGTCCCCATCCCACATTACACCTGTATCACACAAGAAGTTTTGAGAGAGTTACACGACACACAGTCACCTCAGAAGGCTGTGCCTGGTAGCTAATCCTGCTAATCCCAAAAGTACCAATGGTTGGAGGGGCTAAGGCTTGTCCAGCCAGGACTGCCAACTAACCCAGCTGGGACTCAAAGCAGGAGCAGGGGCACCAAGCCCTGCCTGGCATGTCCATGCCCAGTTCCACCTCATAGCACCACGGTAGCCACTGGCAGGACTCCCTCTTTCCTCTGCTCTCCAAAGCTCCTCTGAGTGCTTCATGTGCTTCTGTCTGTACTGTGTCCATCTGCCTTGGCAACAAGGGTTTTAGAGCCCAACAGGAAGAGCAGGAACCTCAGCTACTACTGATATACAGGAGTATGTTAATGGATAATGCAAAATACCCATTGTTTTCTTGATAATTACATTCATGACAATAACTTATTGGCTGCCATTTGATAGCCTGACCATCTTCTGCAAAAAATGCATTTGAAATTAAGTTGTTGAAAATGGACTTTAACTTCTATGTCTTCCCTTTTGCTCTACCACACTTCTAAAGACTGTAACATACTTATCAAACTAGGTGAGCCTCTCCTATTTGGCAGAATCAGATTAGCAGGTCTTTTAATCAAAAAAGAAACACATAATTAGTTTAGTCCTAAGTGCTGAAAAGTATTGCCATATCCTGAAGAGGGCAAGCTCTCTAATTCAGCCATTAAGTACTCAGGCTATTAAGAGTATTAATATTTTGCAGACCTGTAGGACTCTTAACTCCCTGACTCATTGTGTTGGACACCTCATAGCAAAAAGTTTTTCTCCTGTGAAAAAGAAAGGCTCCTAAGGATGCACAATTAACTCAGTTCCATTCCTGACAGCAGAGTGCATCACAGCAGTTGTTGCTTGTCTCCCTCTCTCTCTGTAAAATCGCCCTGATACAGCATCAAAAACAACTGTCATTTCAAAGCACAAGGACTATCAATTCAGTAGGTAGCAGGACAAACAAGAGCAGACTGTACACAAGTAATTTTATCTGTTTAACTACTTATATATTTGTTTTGATGTTTGGAGAGAAATCTCTCTCGTTTTTCCAAAATTCCCAATTTAGGTCTTCATTTTTAAACTGAGTGTTAGAAATGTGATCAACTGGTCATACTAAACCCCATTTTACCCTTACATTCAACTTAAACATCAGCAGACATGAAGGTTTATATGCTTATGTATGTTATATATTTTTCTAGGATTTTTTTCTGAAATCTTGAAGAACCTAAGCATAATTTCTCTTTCTGGGCCATGGGCATTTTTGGATTCAATAATAAATTCTTTTTTATTGCCAAACAGTCATCCTGAGCTACTTTTGCTTCATCTACAGCCTCTAGAACAAAGAAAGTGGTAGAAGTCCTGGTGCAGTCATCTCTGTTATTTACACAGATCCAAAATCATCTCTATCTCCTTGACATTAATGGTGATTTTCCAAATCTGCATGTTCTGCACTGGAGGACAAAAGAAGTACATCACCTTCTCTGCATTCCTCCTCTCAAACTAAATAATTGCCACATCTCTGGGCTTTGGGATAAAAGCACAAAATTTTAAGTGTCATCTCATTTCACCTTAAAGTCCCTTCCCAAATATAAATTTCAAAGCCAAACACCAGGGAGACTTTTTTTAAACTTTAATTTACTGTGGGTCCATCAACTTTGATCACACTGGAAGGTACATTTTCTCCCCATTAGTTCTGTCTAGTCAAAGAAACTCACGTAGCGATGACGCATCTCTTGCAGATAAGGGTATCCGCTGATTTGATTTACTAAGGAAGCTAAATTTATTATGCAACATTTTACAAGTATAATTCTGCTTTCTCTTGATGGTAATAAATTCGATATCAACTCCCATGAGACAAGAGAACCAGTCCTTTTATTATCCAGACATGACCCCCAGAGCCAGATTCCATTTTAGAGACGGGAAATGACCATATCTCTGATTAAAAGGGAAACTTTAATCAAATAAAGTGCCTCATCAAGCGAGAGCCAAGATTCCAATACTCCTGACTGCAGCACAGCAATGATCCAAAGTCATATCTGCCCCCAACCCATTACCGCCTGCTGCAAACGTGATATCCATCCCAAAGAGGAGGTGCATCCTTCAGCCATTTCCTCATCATCTGGGCAGCTGCTCTCCCATGCTCACAGTCCTGTGCAGAAACATGTACTCAAGAAGCCACCCCAGGGTCTGGTTGAGGAGTCAGAGGAGGATGGACTTGGTAGTGTTTGGTTCGATTTTTTCCCAACTAAATCAATCTCACAGGTGACAAGTATCTTGACACCATGCAGCCAAGTGCAGCAGCCTTGGCTTTTAGCTCAGTACCCTTCCAGTTAAACTCTTCTATTCCTTCACTTTCCTTCTACACCCTGAAATTAGCTTTTGAAGCATTTAGGATAATAGCTTATTTAGAGTCCAGGTCATGAGCTTTATCTCGATTATCAGTGGTGCATTTCTGCAGTTTTAAAATGGATGTAGTAAATGAATAACAACGGTAACAATGACAGTATGTATGTCTAGGGGTATTGTTATTTTAAATATGCTCTAAGGTTCCACTTCTGTGTAAGTACAATCGGATCTGTATGCTACTCCGTGCAGGGATCCATCTTAAAGCCTTTCTGGCCATCTAGAATGTTTTCTCCCAACAGAACAAGATACAGCAACTGACAGATAATTCATCTCTCTTTCAGCTGTGGAAGCCCTGCTACGCAAGCAAATGAAGTTGCCCAAATTCCACATCCACTCAGGAACCGCTCGGCTGAGAGATGGGATTATTGCATACAGCCTTCTGCAGAGATCCTCCTTGGATCAGCCCACATGTCATTTCTGCTACAGGAGTAATGATACGCTGCTTTGTGCTGAGGAGTACTTCTCCGTACCAAAGCCTGTGCACCGAGGGAGGCCCCTCGCTCCGCAGCTCTTCCAGCTGCCGCACTGGCCCGGCAAAATGCGGTGTAACACAACCGCACTTGAGGATTATTTCCCTGGTGTTTGTCTGAGTGTTAGAAACACGCCCGCATGCAGGAAAGACAGTTATTGTGTTGGCTCCGATTTCCAGTGAAGCTCCCGTGGTCTCACGGCCCCCCTGAGGTGGGGCAGGGCTCAGCCCAGCCCGTCCAGCCCCGTTCCCGCTTAGCCCAAGGCCGCCCGAGCGCCCTCACACCCTGCCCTGGCCCGCCACGCCGTGTCGGGCGGACCCGCGCCGCGTGTTGGCGAGCAGCCCCGAGCAGCTCTCGGGTTAGACGGCGGCAGCACGGCGGCATTGCCCGTCATCGCCGGGCTCCGCAGGCGAGCCGGGCTCCGCTGAGGCAGCGGCGACGCAGGGCTGAGAGGACACGGGACCGCTGCCCGCAGCACCGGCAGGGGCACGTCGCCCCGGCGCAGGGGGAAGCAGCGGGTAACTCCGGGAGGCTGCCCGGGAGCCCGGCTCGCTTCCAGCGCTACCCGGGCGCCCGCGGCAAACCGAGCCGTCGGGCCGCCGAGAGTTGCCGTCGGGCCCCCGCCTCGGGGGCGGTGCCGCGTCCCCACCGCCCCCCAGGCACACCCCCGGGGCGGGCAGCCCCGGCGGCACCCCCGCCCCGCAGCCCCTTTACCGCGGCGGGCAGGGCTGCCGTCCCCTGCGCGGTGCAGCGGGGCGGAGCGGGGCGGGGCGCGGAGTGCGGGCGGGCTGGCTGGCGAGCGACGGGGCCAGCGCGGTGGCGGGGGCGGGTGGGGTTTCCGTGCGCGGCGCTTATTAGTGTGGTGATGGAGGACCGGCCCCTCGGAGCCGCCTCGCAGCGGCGGCGCGGGCTGACGGCAGCCGCCCGGAGGTGAGCGGCGGCGGCTCGGGCGGCCGAGGCGGCGGGGCCGCCCCCGCCGTGCCCCATGCGGGCGGCGGGGCGGCGGCGGCGCTGAGGGCGATGTCGGAGGCGGGGGGCGCGGGCCGGGCGCGGGCCGCCGTGGAGCGGCTCTCGGAGGCGGTGGGCGAGCGGCGGCGGCAGCTGGGCACCGCCATGGGGGAGGCACGGCGGCAGCGGCGGCTGCTGCTGGGGGTGGTGTGCGTGGCGCTGCTGCTGGACAACATGCTCTACATGGTCATCGTGCCCATCATCCCCGACTACATCGCGGCCATGCGCGGCGGCGGGGGCACCGCCGGCCCGTCCGCGCCCGCGGGGGGCAACGGGAGCGGCGGCGGCAACCGGAGCCTTCTGCCTGCGCGGTACCCGCCGGCCACGGGGAGCAACGAGGACGTGCAGATCGGGGTGCTGTTCGCCTCCAAAGCCATGCTGCAGCTGCTGGTGAACCCCCTCAGCGGCACCCTCATCGACCGCGTGGGCTACGAGGCGCCGCTGCTGGCCGGGCTGGGCATCCTGTTCCTCTCCACCACCACCTTCGCCTTCGCCGAGAACTACGCGACCCTGTTCGCGGCGCGCAGTCTGCAGGGGCTGGGCTCGGCCTTTGCGGACACCGCCGGCATCGCCCTCATCGCCGACCGCTACGCCGAGGAGCCGGCGCGGAGCCGCGCCCTGGGCACGGCGCTGGCCTGCATCTCCTTCGGCAGCCTGGCCGCCCCTCCCTTCGGCGGCGTCCTCTACGAGTTCGCGGGCAAGCGGGTGCCCTTCCTGGTGCTGGCCTGCGTCTGCCTCCTCGACGGGCTGCTGCTGCTGGTCCTGGCGCCGCCGGGCGGCACCGGGGCGCGGGCCAACATGCCTGTCGGCACCCCTATACACCGCCTCATGATCGACCCCTACATTGCCGTGGTGGCGGGGGCCCTGGCCACCTGCAACATCCCCCTGGCCTTCCTAGAGCCCACCATCGCCAACTGGATGAAGGATTCCATGGGGGCCAGTGAGTGGGAGGTGGGCCTCACCTGGCTGCCCGCCTTCTTCCCCCACGTGCTGGGCGTCTACGTCACCGTTCAACTGGCTGCTGCGTACCCACACCTGCAGTGGTTTTACGGGGCCCTGGGCATGGCCATCATCGGTGCCAGCTCCTGCCTGGTGCCAGCCTGCAGGAATTTCGGGCAGGTCATCATTCCCCTTTGTGGCATCTGCTTTGGCATCGCCCTGGTGGACACAGCCCTGCTGCCCACCCTGGCTTTCCTGGTGGACGTGCGTCACGTCTCTGTCTATGGCAGCGTCTACGCCATTGCAGACATCTCCTACTGTGTGGCGTATGCCCTGGGGCCCATCGTGGCCGGCCAGATTGTGCACACCATGGGCTTTGCGCAGCTCAACCTGGGCATGGGGCTTGCCAACGTGCTTTATGCCCCTGTCCTTCTCTTTCTCAAAAATGTCTGCCAAATGAAACCCTCTCACTCGGAGAGGAACATCCTCCTTGAAGAAGGACCTAAAGGACTCTACGACACCATCAAAATGGAGGAGCGCAAAGGCATGGGCAAAAGCCTCCAGCCAGCGGGGGAGATGGATGAGAACGGCATGGGCTCTTACCACAGAGACCTGAAAGGGGTGTCTGAGGAGGACTCGTCGGACTATGAGTACAGTTAGGTTCCCCCACGTGGCCCAGACCCAGGAGCAAGGAGAGACATGTGGGAGAGAGGCAAAGCGGGGGATGAAAACGTTACTGCATTATGTTTCTGTACTAATGTGCAATATCTACAGTTTAACCTTTGTCATGATGTAATGGCTTTCTTCTAGACTTACTTTTAATCGGTATTTCCCTCAGCATTCTGGCAAGGTGGAGGGGGTGGGAAATGGGAGACAATAATGAAAAAATTATTGGAGTAATCATTAGCAGAAATCTGAGGGGATCTTTCAAAAAAAAACACCAAAAAGAAAACAAAAAACCTAACAGCCTCGTAGCTGGGGTATAATTGTGCAGAGTGTTCTCAAACTGAAACTGTGTGTGACATACTGTATATCTCTGTAAAAATTACAAGAAAAGCAAAAAAGTATGTGTAAAATTTCAAATGGTGTATTCAGGGACTTAGTAAATCTTGTGTACATATACTCAGACTTTCAGTTGGTTTCATATATTTAAGAAGAGCAACAGCTGTCTCATTTTATTCTTCCCTAGGAATAAACTGAAGTATTGTACCTTTTTTTCTCTCTTGTGCTGCTCTCCGGTAAGTGCAATATGCTGTATTATGTTGAAGTCCAAGTTACAAGAATAATACGATCTGAATAAAAAGAATTGAAGGGGATCAGTTGTCTTTTGTTTTGTTTTTGAGGACTGCATTAGGGGGGAGCTGGTTGTGCTGGTACCCCCTAAAGTAACAATTCCCCAGAGCACAATTCTCACTAGCTACCAAAATGGCACAGAAAAAAACCCCAGTACAAAATGTTCTCATTCATTCTTCACAACATAATGGGTCTGAGCAAGTGACATCGTGCTGCAACCGTGCTACTGCTTGCTTGAAAACAGCTCCTTGAAATCTCATGGGAATTCAATTTTAATTCTTCACAATCATGAATTTCAGTTTTCTAATATTTCAAAAATTACGTCATCAGCAGTTAGAGGTACAATATTGGAAGGTGCCTTTCTCAGTGTTAAATGCTGCCCCAGTTAAACGGCACCCACCTCAGTGACTCGACAGGGATTAAACAAAAACAAAAGATGGGTGAAACGCTTCATTCAAACATTTGCAAACAGTGGAAACCTTCAATCCACTCACAAGGGAACCAGACTGCATAATCTGCCGTATAAATTTCTCTTAATATAAGATAAAATCGTTTATTTTAATTCTTAACCTATTAGGAAACAAATTATTTGTAATCGCAAGAGGAGGGGAAAGACATTTGCAAGCGGCCATAGCACCTATTAAAGGGCTCCCGGCGGTCCCTGGGGGTCTGGGCACCGCGGAGCAGCGGCCGGTCGGTCCCGCCGAGCTGCGCGGGACGCACCGCTCCGCTGCTCCCGCCGGGCCGGTCCAGTCGCTGCTCAGGCGGCGCAAAACTCCGGAAGGCAGCGGGATGGCGCTTTGGCACGGGGCTTCGGCGAAGGAGCAATGGTCACCGCGGTGGGAGATGAGACCCACTTCCCTAGACCGCAGCCGCTTCTTTGTGGTAAGCGGCAAAAGCGGAGCCTCCTCCAGGTTACCGCCCGCTGCCGACCCGGGCCGCTGCTGCCGCCGGCCCCATGGCAGCTCCTGCAGAGCCCGGGCCCCTCCCGGGACCGCTGCCGCCCCGTCGCGGCTTCCACCCCTCCCGGCCGTGCTGCCGGCAGCCCCTGGCAGCGCCGCCCGCCCCTTCGGCCACCGAGCTCTAAGGAGCCGCAGAAGCGACACTTCTCGACACTGGCGACAACCCCAGTGGCAACGCGGGTCTGTGAGCACAGTAGCCCCTTGGGGCTGCACTTGCCGCTGCCGAGGCTGACCCCGACGGCCGTAAGAGCGCCGGCGAGCTGGCTGTGCCCGGCTGTGCCCGGCTGTGCCCGGTTGTGCCCGGCTGTCCCGCCCGCCCTCACGGTACACGGGCGGCACGGGGCGAGCCGGCGGCGCAGCAGCGCAGGCAGCAGCGCCTGTTGCGCGCAGCGGGAGGGGCGGTGGGGCAGGGCCGGGCAGGGCCGGGCCGGGCCGGGCCGGGCCGGGCCGGGCGATGCGGGGCGGGGAGGAGCCAACGGCGGCGGAGTTGAGCCGCCCTCCGCACGCCCCCACCCAGAGGGGACCTGGCCGCGGAGGAGGCGGCGGTACCTTGGACAGAGCCGCCCCGACTCGCAGAGCCTGCCCGGCAGCCGCTGCGGAGCTCCCCGACGAGCAGGTACCGGCGGACGGGCTGCGCGCCCCGCGCCTGCCGCTGCCCCGACGGCGCGGCTGCGGGAGAGCCTGGGGCCGGGGAGAGCGGGAGCAGGGGGTCCCACGGAGCGGAGCCGAGCGAGCTCCCTTGGCCAAGCTCGGCGGGTTGGGTGTCCCGCCGCGACGGGCGGTTCGGGAGGGAAAGGGCTCCTTCGGGGGATGCGGCTTGGGAAGGTCTCGGGATGTGCCGGCAGCCTCCGGCGGAGCGTGAGCGCTGCCCGACGGGTCCGGCGCTGCCATGGCCCGCAGGGAGCTCACGGCCGGCGACAGGGCGGCTCCTGGCTCCGCTCGCAATGTCCACGGCCGCGGCAGTGCGCGCTTCACACGTGTATTCCTGACAACGCATACATTCCTCTTAACTTCAAACATAGATTCCTGAGAACTTTAAGCTTATCCTCCTGATAACACTGAGAGTGAGGATGAATGGATGGGGACTGAATGTATTGCCCCAACAACACCATATACTGCAAGCTGCCTCCCGAGTCCACCATGTCAGGAGAACTCAAGTATAAGCACATGGGCTTAGTCCTTCTCTGCTATCTGCTAACGGAGAGATCAGTGCCTTTTGTTGTGGATTTGAGTTGCTGCTTTGAGCTGTGGGGAAGGCCACCCGGCTCCCCAGCCTGCTGTGACTCGCAGCCACTGTGCTAAGCCGCTCACCCTGGCCCTCCAGCTAAGCCAGCTGTAAATAAAAACAGCTAGGATTATTTTTTTCTCTTTTTTTTTGCCTAATAACTTTGACAATGTACCTCACAGCTTTCTAGCAACTTTGAAGTCATCTTGAATTTCTGCAGGATTTTCTCCTGTGTCAGTTTTCTTGTCCTTTATTAAGCAAATACAGGATTGGGTGTGATGCTAAGCTGTCAGCACTTGAACCAGAGACAAAGCCTCCGTTCATCCCTGCAACAGAGAAAACAGAGAAAAGCACAGTTCAGGCTACCACCTCCAAACTCTTTATCACACTGTTTTTACAGATATGCAGGGCTGTTAGTAGCATTTCCCATAGACATTGAGCCAATATAGATTTTTAGTCAGCGTGACACCATCTTGCAGTTTGACAAAAAAACATAAGGAAAGAAAGAACAAAAGTCCCAGCACAAAGAATACCAGCAGGATTTTTCCTTTAAGGGTGTACAGTTTGAGGGGCTCTAAAGACAAAATGGCTGCTCTGTATTTGAATGCAGGTGGGGGGCTGAGGCCAGCCCATAAACAACTGGGCAAGCCAACAGTCTTCCAAGAGTCACAGGACGTGCATTATTTGAGGTGCTTTGAACCTGTGTTGTAGGAATAGAGTGCATGGCTGAGTGATGGGCCCTGTGCAGCACACGAGAGGCAGCAGAGCAGTGCAGTAGGTTCATGTGGCCTTTCCATGAGGGAAATTGTCTCTCATCTGGGTTGAAATTGTGAGCAGATGACAGATCAACACGAGTTTGCTGTGTGGCTCATTGCAGGGCTCCAGGGACATCTCTCAACCTTATACAACCTATTTCACAGCACATGGCCCTACTGGCAGCCAGAGCAGGACAGGATCAACACAAGGTGTCAGTGACCACATACACATTGGCAGAGCCACGTTGAAGCTGCAAGGCTGGAATAGCCAAGCTAATTCCTCAGGAAATGAACAATCCACAGCCATCTCTGCCTATTGCTAAACAAAACACTTCAACTCACTTTCATACACTGTAGAGTTTAACCCAAATTGTTCTTAAAAGCTGTTGTAAAAATAATTCCAGTGCCCTAAATGCAGTAATTCCAAAGATTACAGAAAAAAAAAATATTTCCTACATAGTCAACACATATTGTCTTTTATATTTTGCATACACACAGTGGAAAGTAATTAAAAGAAAACCAAAAAACCTCTAATCCATCAAGACCTGTCTGAACACAAAAAATTTCTTCTGCTTTAGCTGCACTTATGTACTGTCATAACTGAAGGACAATTGCTTGGTGTGGTCACTAATATATCAGAAGAAATATGTGTGTCAGGTAGCTTATTCCTGCACAGAAAAGGAGCTAAGAGGCAGAAGAAGTGAATACCAGGATAAGCACAGTACCAGAGAGACACGAGTGGAAGTATTTGCTCTGTCACAGATGACTTTTGTGACTTTTGGCAGGTTAAGCTGTCTCCCTGGATAAGTATGTGCTATTTGGAAAGACTGCTCTGTGAAGTGGTACAGCACCACAGCCTTCACAGGCAGGCTCACAGGGTCCCCCAGCCCAGAAGCACTGGTATCCTGAGAGATTCTAAGCTGCAGAGGGCAAAAGCACAATTCCATCAAACTCTTTTTTACATCTTCTAGCATGGCATCTCACTGTACCCATGGTGCAGTGCCATGAAAAATACATTTAAAGGCTGTGGTGCTTTCATATAAAATGGTAAGGGAAGGAAATATAAGATCCTAACATGGGAAAGTGCAGCATGACTATTACCTGCATCAAGATAAGTACATTCAAAGAAAAGTCCCCTCTTTCCTCCAGCTAACATATAAAAGTAATACAAAGCATGCAGATTATGTCACAATAAATTGCAAAGTAAATTACAGTGACAAAATAAAACATGCTGAGAAGGGACCTTTTATGAGCATCAGATAGTTCTGAATAAATAAATTTATAGCAAAATGAGACAAACAGTGTCAGAGCAATCTCCACAGGGCTCAGTTCAGCTACTTTGAATGTTGTACTTCTATTTTTCTTCAGGTTTGCATTCTGAAGCTTCTTTGTGTGTTTGTGCAGGGAATACTCCCCTCGTACATT